AAAAAAAAAATCAAATATCGGCGCTCGTAACGAAACGCTTAGACTCCTTTCCACTCTATAGCAGAAGTCGCGGTAATCCGACTATCGTTCGGGCGGCTTGGGTTTCTCCAATAGGACTTCCCAAAAATTTTAGTTTTTGGAACATGGTCGGAAATTTTCAAAATTGGGAGAAAAAAAGCGGATTTCCGCTTTTTCGTGGAAGTCTTTCATCCCTTGGAGACGTGAACGGCAAAATGATCTCCAATGACTCACGGCAATGCGGATTAATATTTGAAACTGAATTCAGGTTTGCCAAATTTTGGACGTTTTGTCTCAGAATGGCGCAGCTTTGGCAGAAACTGAGCTGAATGTCGCAAAATGGCGCAGTTATGCCGTTTTGTCTCAGTTTGTCGCAAATGGCGTAGGCGTAGCACCCCTGCATAATAACATCATATTGAAAATATCGGAAATCGAAAAACCAGGTTAAAGGAGTCGAGAAAGATGATAAATAACTGTTGATAAATTATCAACTAACGACGCAAATTTATGATGAATCGTCAGAAATCGAACGCTAAGAAAAAAGGAAAAACTCAAATTTGAAATTCTCATGTCCTAACACCGTATTAAATATATAGAAAATAATTTGAAAGTGATGTGAAAGTGATTGCCGAAAAGTGATTGGAAAAACACATGGACTTAAATAAATAAATAAAATACAGTTACTGATGCAACTAAATGTTTTTTATCAATTAAGAAATTTTCAGAAAAATCATTTCCATTTTTTATATAAGATAAGATAAGATTTAAAGATTGGGCAGCTCTGATGAGCAGGGCATGTCGACCAGAGGTCCATTGTACCCAAACCCTGTTATTGCATGAAAGCCCTCTAGCTAAGATGAAATTCAGCAGACACCTTACTGGAACGTCTTGCAGTTCCCAGGCGTTGGCACAATGTTGCGCTAAATGCTCAAATCTTAGAGCAGAATAGACCTCACAATCACAGAGTATGTGTCGTGATGTCTCTTCTTCAAGATCTCCTTGAAAGTAAACCTTGCATTANATTCCCATTATGTATAGGTGTCTTCTGAGGATGCAGTGCCCAGTAAGAAGACCAATGATCTTCCTTAAGCTATTTCTATTAAGCTTTAAAAGCTCTTTTTGACGTACACTAGGACAGTCACGATTTTGCTCCTTAGCTTGTCTCTGACCGTCAGCAGTGCGCCATTGCTCACGGCAAATTCCATTTTTTACAAATACAGTCCCTAAAAATAAAACCAGGATCGACCCTAGAATATTATAGTATGTCTTTGTAATTTCCAAGTGGAACAGCAATCCCCATGTTTCCTGTGAGTTCTTAATAATGAGTTTAATTGAATTCATTTATCAAATCTTGGCAATAGAGGATTAAGAAAATAATAAAAATAAAAGCATTAATAATTTATAAGCAATAATAAAGCACTATTTATCCTCAATAAATTTTGTAATGAGAAATAAGAATAGACAATCTTAAGTATATCCATCCTTATACCTGTTATGAATTTTAGCAACCATAGACCCTTTTCCAATTAAAAGTTTTCTAAGTTACAAAACCACGGCATATTACGATTCTATCAAATTAATCAATAATCAATATTACAATTAATCAATAAATATCAAATGAATTTGTCTGAATGCCAAATTGTGAGAAAACAAAACTCTTGGGTAGAAAATTTGTTTTACGGTAAACTCAAAGGTAACAAGTTTGGCAGTTGCCAAATCAAACTCCCTCACTTTTCCAGAGTTTGGCTCAAAAATTTTAAAATCCCGGATTTTTTAGACAATTTCCAAATTCCCTGACTTTTTTCGTTACTCCAGGTAGCACAGCAACCCTGACCATGCTTACATAACAAATACCTCTGGGGTTACGGAATTGGAGATTGTTCCTTCGCTGGTTCAGGTCAAAATTACAATCTGTGGATGAAAAAACTGAATGCATGAATGGGTCTACCCTATAAACGGGCTATGATGCGTGTGTGGCTGAAGTAGAATTTTTCGGCCATAGATTGAATGAGCTGGCCATAGAGCCATGAAACACAAAAAACGAACCATCTGCCTTAAATTCACTTGGTTACACTAAGCAGGCTTGCTGGAATTGGCAAGTGGCATTAGCAACAACAATAATAAATAAAACGTTACCTGTTTCACTTTAGCAAGCTCGTATCCAAGAGATCCAGATTGACCTTTTATTTGTTCTGTGTTTGAACTGATATGTACACTGCTAGCTACATTTTTTGATGGTTTTCCACTAGATGCACCAACTAAAAAATAAGAGTTGAATATAAGATTGAGATATTTAAATACTATTATAAATTTATAAATGACATTAAATGTAAAATTATAAGTATAAAATATAGTATTTTATCTCAAATCAACTTACATAATTCTTCACGATCTATAACGCTGGGAGCAGTAGTGAAAAGTCCTTTAAAGAAACTTAACTTTGGTGCTTCAGGAATCTCTTTATTGATAAAAAGTGTTCCTAGCATATCTTGTAAATTATTGCTAAAATAAAAAGAAATAATAGTTTATAAAAAGTAATAAATTAAATAAGCACAGTTTTAGAAAGCAAAATATTTTTGAAATGAATATAATTGACTGAGACATGAGCTGGTGAAAGGTGAAATTTTGTTCATTAAATAAATTCTACAATTGATATTTTAAAATAAAATTGACAAATGAAATCAATCAATGAAAATGATCAATGAAATTGACCAATAACTATTCACAATTTGAAGCAAAAAATTTTTTTTTCATTTATTTGAAGAAACATTGTAACTATGATATTGAAAATGCCACACCTATTGCTTCATTACTTCAATTTAGATATAGTTTCTTAGAACGTCAGCATCCACCAAACAAACATTCAACTCAGCTCAATGTCACCTTCAAGTATGTCTCCCCCACATCACCAGAAAGATAATTTGAATGATTTCTATATTATTTTCTAGACCTATGTAAGCTATAAGTCACGCATACTTAAAGTTTCTCATAAGTTCCTTTCAATCTTTTACGCAAAAATTAAGGGCATGAAAAATTTAAAATCCATTCTTTTTTGACGCACCATCCTGAATGTAACAGGAGAATAGCTGAGCAAAATGTTTGGTGCTTCACCAATTCTAGTTACCTTCAAGGTAGAAAGTTTCATTTTTTTGTAAAAGCTTTGCTCTTATTTTTCTCCCTTTTACAAAAATAAATATTTAATTCTGATATAAGATATTTGCTCTCATTTTATTGCAACCTTCCACCATGAATGTTTAATTTTTGCAGTCTAATCTACCCTCATTCCTTTACCCAAAAAACATAACTAATCTACTAATCAAATTTGCATTATTGATTATACATAAGAAAGGATATGGAAGTTAAAACCAAAACCAAGGAATTTATTTTAGCAAAAATATTTTGAATGATTTACTCAGCCTCCAATGTTTCAAGTTTTACAATATTTCTTTTTGAAAATGGTCTATCAATTAATAAATTAATACATATTTTGCATTTAGTAAAAAGCCCTAGTGAAACTTCAGAAAAAATCATTTCTTCAAATTTCATTATAGGAATTAATGTCACATAATTAATTATCACAATAGCATTTTATAAGGTTTATTTTAAAAAAATAAAAAGGATAATCAAATTATAATCTTTTTTTTAAATTAACAAAAGCTGAGAGAAAAATACAAAAAGATAAGTTGAAACATAAGGCTATGCAAGATTTAATGTAAAGAATGAAAGGAACATAATTTACAAGTAGAGGGTAACAGAAATAATCATTATGAAAAATATATAAAATATTGTAATGATGCATGAGAAAAGGATAAATCCGCTTCATATTGTCAGTACAAATTGCTAAGCTTGAAGAATGCCTTTTCTAACTATAAACTATTATCATCGCCCATCCTTTTTAGGTCATTTTGTATATTAAAGGTCAAGCAGAAACTGTGTTTTCCTCACTGGCATTTCTCAAATATTTCTGCACTTCTAAAAATACAAAGTACTCAAATATTTCTACACTTCCAAAAAACAAAGTATTTATTGTTGAAGAATATTTCTTATTTTCTTTACAATACTTGTTTTGAACAAAAGTTTCCGATCAATATTTGAAAATAGTAAGTGAGGTCTATTCTATGAGTAACATACAGGCTTAAAAGTGAGACAAAAACTGGTTATAAAATCATTTCAATTACAGTAGAGCGCCGATTATCTGAACCCTTATTATCCGAACTTCCAATTATTCGAACTATGCCTGAATTCATTTTTTTTTTAAAGTTTAGAATACTTTTTAACCTNCAGTCATATTTACATGTTACAACTATAAAAAACTTAAATAATCAAGTAATCATTAATATTTTACTCTTCTTGAAAGTAAACTGAAGTAAAATAATTTTCTTACCAGAGTTTGCTCTTTTCTCTCTTGATATAATATATATATATAGATAGTTTCAGTCCTGGTAACATATTAATTACAATTTTTTAAAGTGTAAAGTGTTAAAAAATAAAAAAAATCTAATTCTTAGTTTAATAATTAGTGATTCCTTACACCTTTCTGACTAAGCTTTTATTAAGAATTGAGATTATATGATTTTAACACGTCTGTAGTCCAAAATAATTTCTTTATTTCGTCAAAAATTACGTAAAAAAATTTAAAATAGGAAATATACTAGTGAAGAATTTGTTCTATTTGTAGAATTCACAAACAGTAAATTTTTTGCTCAAATGCCATCTGTTTGCATAAAAAAAAACTCATTATTTTAAGAATTGGTTTTTAAAGTTTGTTATTTGGTTAATAAATTCAGTAGGGAAAAAAATATTTTAAGATTATAAAAATTATCAACATGGTAATTGCATTTAATCATAGAAAATATTAAACTACATAGGAAATATTCAAAATTTTACCAGTAACTGGATGATATTGAAAACTTCTGAAGTTCAGTTGGTGAACATAGATAAACTCCATGCCCATTTTTACTAAAGCAAAATGTTCTCGCAATTCTACAAAACAAAATAAAATTCATTATACATAAATTTCACTGCATTTTTTTAAGCATTGAAATCATAGAGGCAAATTTTAATTAATTACCATAAACTATAACATTTTTATAATGTTGCCAAACAAAAATTTGAAAAGTTTTTTTTTAAGAGTTAGCGATGTATAGAGAGAATAAAAAACAAGCGATAAAAATTATACATTAAAGATACGTGGTTCAATGAATTTTAAATTTTCTCAATGTTATTTTGCTTTATATTGATTTTTAAACAGGAATTCTTTTTCTAAAATCAAAATTATGGATCTGGTGCTAAACATATTTTTAAAAAAAAAGCACAAAAATCCAATACTTTTTATCAAATTTTCAATACAATGACAAATGCTGGACTGAATGAAGGAACATAAAAATTATACATTAAAGATACGTGGTTCAATGAATTTTAAATTTTCTCAATGTTATTTTGCTTTTTATTGATTTTTAAACAGGAATTCTTCTTCTAAAACCAAAATTATGTATCTGGTGCTAAACATATTCTTAAAAAAAAAAAGCACAAAAATCCAATACTTTTTATCAAATTTTCAATACAATGACAAATGCTGGACTGAATGAAGGAACAAAGACATTTTCAATATGCCTATTAATCTTCAATTCTATATTTTATTTAAAATAAAAGTGAATAGGAAATAAAAAGTAACTTTTTAACACAAAGAAAATACAGTCTTACCGCATATCAGCTAATGGTAGAAATTCATCATTGCAGACAATCTTAAGCGATGGAAGGCTGTAGATAGTTAAATTTCCAGAGGCAGAATAACATCCTAAACATATTTTATCTACAAAAACAGACATAAAACAATTTAAATTGAAGTTGATTAAATAGTACAATTCACATTTTATTGATATAGTACTTTAAGTTGTAAAGAACTAGATCATTTACAAATCCTGTTTTTCCTGAATCCTTGGCTTTTATTTTATAAATCAAAATAAATTATTACAAAAAAATGAGAAACAAATTATCCCCTAATATGATTATTTACTAATTCCATCCATTAACTAATATTCTTACGCATCGATTCTCTGACTTATTGGTTTTCCCCCTCAATTTCTTCCTTTATTAACTTGCTATATCAAGAAACACTCAAATGTATAATTATTATAACAATGCACTGTTTTTTAAAATATTATATTATTACAGCTATTAAATTACGATACTTCAAATCCTTTTTATTTTCCTCAAACTAACATAGATTTATAACTAGTAAAAAAAATTCTAAAACAATACAAAGTGAAAACCAATGTTTTAAATGCTTTTATAATTTAAATTAAATAATTAATAGCAAGAAACTGTAGCAGTAAAGATATAACTTAATTAAAAACTTTATTCCCTCCAAAAATATACAAAATAAAAAATAACAGTCAACATGTTTCAAAGGCTTAAAAATAGACACCCATTTTCAGGGCATGCCAGACGTGAATGAGAAGAATAAAAGTGATTTGAAAATTAAAACGTAAAGTTACTAACGAAAAATGGAAAAAAAGTGAGAAACAAAACAAGAAAAGCCACAGAAAAGCCCTGTGAGAACGAAAAAAAGTTGCAAAACAGAAGAAAATACATTTCTACACACTATGGAGAGGTGATGAGGAGTTAAGTTGTTAACAAGGGAATCAGCATTCATATGAATAAAATAAGATTCCAGGACATCAAAAAGAGCTGATGTGCAGAAATAATTTTGGCATTGTCAAAATTTAATTTATGCCCAAGATTCCAACAAAATGCAGCAATTGATGATTTCTCATATTCTTGATAATGGCAATATCAACCCTCTCCATTTTTTGTTGGCAACTTTATATTTTCTATTTCAAATTACTTAGCTTCTTTTCATTCTAATGCAACCAGTCTTGAAAAAGAGCGTTTATTTTTGAATGCTTGAAAACTGCTGACCATTCTTAATATTTTCTAAAATAAAGTTTTTAATCAAGAAAGGTAAAGTGATATTTCGTGAGACACAAATTTAGAAAAACATTCAAAATAAATTTAAAAAATAAGGATAATTAAGATGTGGTTATAACTAAGCAATCACTGTTATATTTTAATTAAAAAAAGTGATTAATATTGTATACTGCTAGAAATTTAACACTTTGTCAAATTCTATTCAATTTAATGTTGCTGAATCTGTCATAGAAAACAACACTCAGTGAGGAAATTGTATCAGGACTCTAATAATTTCTTACGAAAAGTGCTATGTGTATATATAAAAAGAGAGAGTCAAAAATGTATGGAAACTCAAGACCATGGGTGGTTGAGCCTAGTTCAATTTAAATTTACCACCAAAACTGGATTTTTAACATTTTACATAACAGTTTGTAAATGCTGCCTCTAAGTGGCACTTTGGTGATTGGGGCAGTTTCTTTTTAACATTCCATAGAATTATAATATACACGTGGATGCCAAGTTTAAATCGTGAAGAAATATGTAATTTTTTAAAACTTATACATTTTTTTTCTATAATCATTAACATTGGGATGGGCAATTTTGTTTCTGTTCAGATTTAAAGTATGAATGAAAGATTATCATATAGCTGTTTATTTAAGGCTCTGTAAGCTTTTGATATGTACTCATTTATATGTACTGAAACAATATTTTTACTGTATCATTTTTTTAAATTTCTTTGGTAAAGCATTTTATTAACACAGTCTCATTATAAGTCAATTTTTAATAGATTGCATAGTTTCCCAGGAAACTTTTATAATTACTTCAATTTGTTTTATACCAGCTGTTTATAATTTATTAAGTAATGACTTTTAACACTAACTAATAATTAAGTTGTTGCTCAAACGATGAGGACTATATCTAAATCTATTGCAGTTGTTTTCACTAAATAACATAATGTATCAAAACAAACTCCAAAGGATGTGTAACCATTGACATTGAAATATGTGACACATTTTACTTTATTAAATTGTTTATAATTCAGAATTTAGCAAACTTTAAATGGAGTCGATTGCTAACACTCCTGTATATTCTTATTTTTCTTACATTATATTTTTTTACATTAAAAATATTTGCAACTTAGCATGATTGGGACAAGGTGATAAAATTATCTACTCATTACATTTTCTTAGATTCTTAAACGGCACATATAATATTTGCAGATGACCAGCTGGAATGGAGACAGTGCTTTCACTAAATTTCCTGCAAATTCAACCAAGTGTTTTCTTTAGCACTTTTAACCCTCCAAGATAAGGAGAGAGACAGGGACTTCTCCTTTCTCCCTTTCAACTCTCTCTCAGGAAAGCTTGTTTCAGATAAAACTTTTACTCTGGTTATTACATGGAGTAAAGTAGAAAGGAATTTTGTTTGATAAGGGTGAAATAAATTTGATTCCGATTTATGTGTGTGACCTGGCCATTCCACCACTACTCTAATATATCTACTCCAGAGGTCTGAGCTTGAAATTGGATGGTAGACATAAGCACGATTTACTTTCTTTTATTTTTTTTTTTTAACTCAGTGAGTAGCAATGCAATAATACAATAATAAAATTAAGATTTTTAAAACAAGCTTCTTTTGTTGTGGTAAAAATTGCATTCCTTTTATTGATAATAAGCAAGTTGTAAAAAATTGTGATTTGCCATCATAAGAAATGATCTATTTATTACTCAGCATACCCCTTCACATAAGAGCCTGACAAAATCATTAAATGCAGCATTTGAAAATACATTGCACTTGTAATGATGAAAAGTTAATCTGATGTATATTTCTTTAACTATTTGATCTTTTCCATACATTTTGGAAACTCTATAAATATATAATATTTCACAAATTTAAAAAAAAAAAAAAGATTTCTTCATATTTAGAATATTTTAGTGTTTTGAAAAACTACACAAAGCATTAGGCTGATAAAACATTAAGAAATTAATATTTTAGTAAGTATTAGTGAATCGAAATCAAATGTTAACTACAAGGATCAAAAGTAGAACACAAAGTGTAAACTACTATTTCAAATTAGGCTTTTTCGAAAGGCTTACAAATTATAAAATAAGATATTTTATATTTTGAGGAAGGGCTTACAATGGAATTTGAACTAGGTCCTGTAAAACCTGAATCCATCCTTGCTGTCAAGTACACTTGAAAGTTTTGACTATTAACCCATAAGTCCTAAAACTATTAACTATTCACATTGGTTAATCTTCTGCTTAACCAGCAAATATCTCCCAGTATTATACAATGGGAAAAGATACAACAAAATTATGCAATATTTGCCGATTGAACACAAATTTGTAGAGAATTTGAGGTATAATATCTGAAAATACCAAATATTTAGCCCTGATAAATATTTAAACCATACACCTAAATTATTCTGAAAAATGACAATTTATTTTAATGAATTTTTACATGCATAACAATTTACATGCTTCTTCTTTCTGATATATTTTTTATTACTTTTTGGTCACTTATTATGTAGCACTCACAATGCTTGGAATTAGATATTTAAATAAAAAATTATAACAAAGTGCTTTTACCATAGTTTTGTTATACTACAGAATAAAAACAAGCATTTTTAAAAACAACTTTAACTTTAGGACAACTTGTAATGGATACAATACATATAAAAACAGTCTTTAACATTGGAAAATACTTTGTGTCTTACTTAATGTCAAGAAAATAAATGTATTTTATAAATCTTTTATGAAAACTAAACAGAGAAAATAAAAACGAACCATGTTCCTTTAAAAAGATCACTTCTGCTTTAACTACAAATGATGTTTCAGCAAGGTTAATTTTTTGAACGCAAGACTGGGAAGGTACTGTAACCACAAAAGCTTGTTTCTCTGAGCATAAAAGCACCAACTGAGCATCAGATGAATCGGATGATGAGGTTGGAGAAACTTTGCTTTTAGATTGATTGTTTAAAGAAAGTTCTAAACAAACAAAAAGCAGAAAATAAGTAAGGTATTGACAATATTTCTAAAGGGTTATCATAAAATTATACATAAGATTAGTATATTCAGTGATAAAAGTTATAGCGGTACAAATTCTGAACCAAGTTTCTCCCCAAAGTCTTTCTAATTTGATAATAGTTTATGATAGTACAATAGTTTCTTTTTAGAGAATTTAGTGAAGTTCTTTCACGTTCGTATATTTTTACAATGTTAAAGTAGATTTTTTCAAACATCAGGTAAACTGACAACATTTCAGGATTTCCTTTGCTGAATTTTTAAAAAAATATAAAATAAGTAAAACATTGCATTTTATAGTTCCCTTATTTATGAAATAGTTAAATATAAATGGTTTTCAAGTTAGTTTTAAAGTGCCTTTTTCTAGTCATGCTTACATTAAATATCGTTTTTCAGAGTACATAACATGGAAGTACTAAAAAAAGAAACCTATATTAACTGAATAAATGGATTTTTCTTGCGAACTAAATTTGACTAGTGGTTTCATCATTTTCAATTTTCAGCTTAGTACATGGATGTGCAAAACTTACTTTTTACATCTCAACCCCTATATTATTAGTTATATCTTTACTGAAATCTTACTTAGAACAGGCTTAACAGAAGAATTTGTCATCCTTCAGCAATCACTAATTTCCTAGCCACTAATAAATTTTTAAAAAATGAGAAATTAAGTGTTCCGGTGCCCCTAATATTATTTTAAAGAATGCAAATATTTTAAGACATAAAACTGCAGAACATGGTGGGGCTCAGATAACTATGAGTTGTAAAATTGCAAATAATGCACAATTGGCAAACATTAATTTTCGAACAAGGACAATATTGTAACATACTTGGCACTTTAATAATTTACATCTCACAATTGAAGTAAAAATTGCTAGATAAATTTCTTATTAATAACATTAATAACTAATATACAGTAACAAAATAAAAATTTCAATCAGAGAAAGAAAATCAACAAACAAAAGGAATCAGATTAATAATCAACAATTTAAAAAGCAGACAACTTACTTTTCTTTTCCTTATCAGTATTTGACTTAGTATCCATTTTCCATGATTCAAATTGAAGAGAAAGTGCCATTCCTGTGGAATCAAGGAATGTAATGGAAAGAATAGATCCTTTCAGACGATATACTGTACCTATAAATATTTTCTCGTTAATATTATTTATTAAAACTGAATAACATAGCAAGAATCAAATATTATAACCTAATTGTTTTTTACATACCTAGAATGTGAGGGTGAAAGCGATTTCCCTAAGAAATACTTGAATTTTGAAAATCACAATTTAAGTTTTTCCGTATCAAATCTTACATCTTGATCAACCCAATTCAAGCCATACTACATGATTTTTGCAATTTGTAATTTACCAAAATTAACAGTTAACCAAACATATCTGCAAATTGCTTCAATTTCAGAGAAGTCGACGATGGTAGATACATAGTAGAATGAAAATTCGAGAGCTAAAATTAAGCTTAAAAAATTACCCTGTTTCACCAATCTCGTTGCAACTCTAAAGCTTTATAATGTTTTTTTTTCTTTTTTCATTAATTTATATTATTTTTTTATATTTGTATAATTTCCAATTGTAAAAAAATGTAGGAAAAGTTAAACATAACATAACTACATATTAACATATTAATTTAAACATAACTCATTTACATAACTACATATTTCTTTTTCAAAAACATTATTCCATAAAATGGAATAGCATACTTTTGAAACTAATTTAATTTTTTCCTTTAGTTGTAGTGTGCGAAAAGAAAGGGACCACCCTTAGTAACTTTCGAATTAGTTAACGGATCTTCACATTCTATGACTCAACTGAATCATAATTATAATAAAACTTTTATTTAGTATTTGTAGAGCTCGAGATACAAAGTTATATTTTATCCAAAATAAGACTTACTAAGTTAAATAGCAAATTTTTCATAATAATGTTAATAAGTACAGGCCACTGGTGATAAATCCTCCATGACCAGCCTAATCAGAAGCTAAATTAAAAAGTGATTGAATTGTTCGCAACAGACAGTTAGGAGCATGGGAAGGATCCATGGTTGGTCATTTATCGAAAGATAACATAGCCAATAAATAAAGCCAACCCCCATAATCAATATTAAGTTTGAAAATAATTTGGCGAAAGTGAATCGCCAAAAAGACTGTGAGAATTAGTTGAACCATGTAACTGAAACATTTCTGGGGTAAGAAATAAAAAGAGTTCTGGTTTTGATTTAGTCGCAGCAGTGAGGGTTATGAGTCTTACATTAGTATTGAAATAAAAAGTTACCCGTTACATTGATTGTAAAGAAAAGAATAAAATATTTTATATTCACTTTTTATAAAATGTAAAAAAAATAATTATATAATTGGTTTAATTTAATTAAAATTTGACTAAGAATGATTTTTAAAAAAATAAGTGTAAGAAATTAAAGAAATTTTAAAAGCTAGGAAATATGTAATGTCTATTGTGACATCACAGTAAGGTATAAAAAATTTTTCATCATTTTAAAGTACGTAATTTAACAAGGCTGCAAAATACAAAATTTGAGAGAAATAGGTTGAATAGTTCACAAGAAATCGAATTTTTAAAAAGATATATCTTTAAAATTTGATTTCTCAGCAACTATTCAACTGACTTTGCTTGAATTTTGTATTTTGCTATTTAAAATTATATACTTTAAAATGATGCAAAAAGTTGCATACCTTACAATTCAAAAATTTTCAAACATTATTAAATAAAATAATAAATATTTACTAAAATTTATATTTTGCGTAGAATTATCTTTGGACAAACTACTTTTACAATTGGGAGCTAAAATTTTTCAATTCGCTTAAAAAGGTTTCGAAATAAAGTGAAGCATGCAAAATATTAGATTAACATTAAGAAGTGCAAACTTTGGACCCCTCAACTGACCAAACTATTGAGACAATATTTCCTAGATTGTGGGTACTTTAGGGGATATTTTAGGGGTTAGAAATCTGAATCTGTTAAAAAAAAAAGGTATGTTAATTACGAGAAAGTACAATTTTGTGTCTGATTTCATAACTAAAAATATCATCTACACTAATTAATTAGCAAATTTGAAGTCTACTTCTTGAACTTTTAAGACTGCGTCCTAGAACATGAAGATCCGATCATTAGAACAAAAGTTTTCAGGGAGGTACTTTCTTTTGGGACACCATACATCATAAGGGATTATTTAAAATTTTATTTTTTCAATTTGCGAAGCGAGACTTATTTTTCTTAGATTTAAATAGCTTTAAAAAATATTCTGTAAAAACACACCATATACTTTGGATTTTAGAGCATATATGAACTTAATATATTTATGTATAGAATATCGATTACATTATTTATATCTTATTACATTAAATATATTCTACAATATTTAATGTAATAAGTAAAATTAAAAGTATGTAAAGTTACAGTATAGTTTTCATAACATAAATTGTTCCATTTATTTTAGAACTTCTTGGTAATAGGAAAGAATGTTGTTCCTTGGATTGAATGTACTTCAGACCCAAGGAAGGCTATTCCAATTTACTCCACCTATATAGTAAACTGGTATAGTAAAAAACTTTTCTTATTTTTAAATTCAAGATTAAAGGTTTTTAATCCTTAGTAGTTATACTAGTTAAGAAGTTAAGCTTGCCAGAACTTCAGTCATGCTTTGAAAAAATATAGAAGAAAAAAGAAAAACCAAGAATCATGACATCCTGACTTATATCCTGACTTATTTCTACACTAAAATCTTTAATTTAAAAAACCTTGTATTGAAAACGAAAAAAGTAGCACATAATTTTCAAGTTAACTACAGAAAAATTCGAATATTAATCGTTTGATTATATCAAAAGATAAACATATTTTTGTAAACTAAAAAAAGTAAGAATAAAAATAAAATGCATAAAGCAAAAAAATGACTTACCACTAGGAGAAACAATAACAGGTTGAGTGTATCTTTGATCTTCTTCTGGTGAAAGAGTAAGAAGAATCACAAGAACAGATCCCAAATTTGTTCCAACCCATAATGTTGGGGCTGTAACAAAATCTGAAAAAGTAAAATTAAAAGATTAAAGCTAGAACTGCGAAGTGGGTCATTTTGACCCAAAATCACTTTTGTTATAGTGTTTGTCAGAAAGTTACAAAGGAAACTGGCAAAAACTTTTGACTTTTACTAATTTTGTATCTATCACAAACTGTAGAAATATTATGAGCCTTACTTAAAATGATTATTCAGTTTTAATACCTGCCAAATTTTAATCCCTTCCATTATCATTTTTCCCAGTGGTATTAAAATGGAATTAAAACTTCAATTTTAAGCAAACAAATACGTTGTATTTGAGAAAACTTAAGTTGACAACCATGATAGTAACGCATATTAATATATGTGCTTAATTTTTGTAAGAATAGTGGTGATCAATATCATTTAAAAATTAAGATTATAAAANTGATGCATACTTTGCTACCACTTTAAATATGAAAATAAAATCTTCCGGAAAATCCGGAAGAGTTGGCAGGTATGAGTTTTTGACACTTATATCTTAATCCGCAGGGTTGGGTTATTCTGACCCAGTTCCTAAAAATATGTGTTGCATTTTAATAATGAATGAGAAATATTTCTTTTTCCAACGTTTCGTTGTATAGAAATTCTCTAAATCATGATGTCAGTGCTACAAATGAATAAATTTGGGTATAGATAAGAAGATTCATTCATATGGTATGAGTCATCAGTCTGTATGTTAAACTAAGACAGGAGCGGAGCAGAATCAGAAAGAAAAAGTTTGATGCTCATTCACCTATTTTCAACCATAATATATTGTTAACCAAATTTGAATAAAGAGAATTAAAAATATTGCAGTGCCCCAGGAATCAAAAGATTTCAAGGTATTCCTTGGGTATACCTTGTATTCCTTGTTATAATAATTATAAAGGTATTCCTTGAGTATTTCTTGTCCAATCACTGGCAAAGAATGGTACTCAAGTTTGAAAGAGAAAAAAAAGCAATTATACTAATTTTTATTTTGGATTATTTAAACAGATTCAGATTTATTTGAATCTCATTTCAACAAATTTTCTAGACCCCTACATCCTCAATATAGCCAAAGTCAAGATGTAAACTAATTACAAATCAAGTTAGAATTTTTGTTTTTTTCTTTACTTTTTTAGACTCCTTTTGCTTTACAGACACAATTTTTTCTTAAAGGAAAAATATAGACATTTAAACAGAAAAGTTTCAGAATGTTTTCAGAAATTGTCAGATAGAGAATATTACTTTATCAACTAAATTATTTTTACATCTATATCTTTATTGTTTTTCAATTCACATTCTAAAATGAGCAGAAACTAACATACGTAAATAATTATAAAACATTGATTTATTACTAATCAAAATCATGCGTTTTAGACAAATTCTTGCTCCAATTTTTTTTTCAAATTCTATTTAAGAAACAGTATGAAATAAACTACACATGAAAAGAGGCAAACAGTAGTTAGCTATTTCTTTCCACAATATTTTGATTGTAACATAACTAAGCATTGACAAATACAATGGTAGAAACTAGTTATTTTTGCAAAACGAATCATCATGTAAATTGGATGGTAATTCAAATATTGGCAAAAAAATTAGGGAGCCTTAGTTAATTAAGTCTTTTTCAATGTACTATAATAATTTCTTCAAAAGAAAAAGTTTTAGGTTACAATGAAAAAGCATTTTAAAATATATATTTATAAGTGTGATTACTCTTTATTTTTTAGTAGATGAGGCTTATCTTTTTTTTATCAAATACTTCAAATAATGGTCGATGAATGAATAAACATTTGGAATTGATCTATTCAGCAGAGATGATACTATCGGGTTGTTTGGAAAGTAATTTCGTTTTTCCGACAGAGGATTTAATTGTATTTTTTTGAACCCAACTTTACACTTAAGCCACATTATCATTATATGTTTTGAGAGCTAATATAGCAAGGCTTGTGTGTGAAAAAGTTCAATTAATTCTACGCAGTAGCTTTTCGTTGATGCCCTTTTAAATATGGAGAGCAATAACCAGCATTTTCGTCATATTTTACTTTTTTACTATAGAAAAAGAAAAAATGCTGTTCATGCCAGAAAGGAATTAACCTATGTGTATGGAGAAAGATGTGTTGACAGTACGCCAGTGCAGAACTGGTTTGCAAAATTTCGATCGGGCAATTTTAATGTCGAAGATGCACCACATTCTGGAAGGCCGGATGAAGCTGATAAAAACACGATAAAGGCATTAGTTGATGCAAATCGGCGATATCATCAGTGAGAGGTTAAATTTATCGAATTCAACTGTTTATGACCACTTGAAAGGCCTGGGTTTAACCTCGAAACTCGATAAATGGGTTCCCCATGTTCTCACGGAGAGAAAATTGTGTCGTCACGCTGGCGTCTGTGATTCGCTTCACAAACATCAGGAAAAGAATCCATTTTTGAAGCACATCATTCCTGAGAACGAAAAACGAGTGGTCTATAACAATGTCAAACGCAAGAGATCAAGGAGCAAGAAAGATAAAAAGGCTCAAAGCATTTTGAAAGCCAATATCCATCAAAAAAGGTGATGCTGTCTGTTTGATGGCATTTTAAAGGAATAGTTTTTTTTTCAGCTTTTACCGGATAACACAACAATTAATTTGGAAGTCTACTGTCGTCAACTGGACAAACTAAATGATGTACTTCAACAGAAAAGGTCAGAATTAATCAACATAAAAGGTATAGTGTTCCACTAAGAAAATGTGAGGCCTTTTACAAGTTTGGTCACTCGCCAAAAGCTTTTAGAGCTTGAATGGGATACACTGCTACACCCACCATATTCTCCAGATCTGGCTCCTTCAGATTATTATTTGTTTTTGGTCACTGCAAAATTTTTTGAATTGTAAAACCTTTACTTCAAATAAAGAGGTCAAAAATCACCTCAATCAGCCTTTTAATAGCAAAGACCAAAAATGTTTTGAGCATGGAATCATGCTACTATCAGAAAGATGGTAAAAGGTGTTGGACCAGAATGGCGAATATATAATTTAATAAAATATTTATTCATTATACGAAATTGTCTTTCATCCCCCCCCCCAAAAAAAAACGAAATTACTTTCCGAACAAACCAATTGTAAGTAATGAAGCTTGAAACTTATTGAATGAAAATAGTTTATAGATTAAACACAACCATTCTTTCATTCTCTTATAAGTGCTACCTCCTATTAGTTCTTAAAAAAAATTTTACTTTGATGTTAAACCAATGCATTTACCTGATTTCCTACAATATGATTCAGCAAATATTAAACATTGTACAGATTCAGAATTCATGTTTTCTAAGCTAGACATGCTAGAACTTCTTGATCTGGAGAAAGAGTTGTCAATTTTATCTAAAATTCAACAGTTAAAAAGTTTAAGAATATATCTTTAATTATTAAGGTTCAATAAACAAACTTAAAATGATAAAAAGTTTGACATTACCTTGTATCTTACCTTGCGATTTTGTTCGCCGCATCTCTGCTGAAGCAGGTTTTCTTTGTAATAAATGTTTCCTAGTGGTTGGGCTAAGACACATGCCATTAACCTTCAAAGAGAAAAACAGTTAATATTTTTTTACTATTTAAACTAAAGTAAAATAGGGAAAATAATTTCATAAATACTTGTTTATATAGAAAAATAAATTATAATAAATTTAAAAGATTTTAATTAAATATTCAAAGACAAACCAGGTAAATTGTCAATAGACGCTTAACAAAAAGTTTTTATAACAAAGGAGCAAATTAAATCAATTAAACTTTACTTGGAAAATACTAGTTCACCTTAATCAGCAATACAGAAATATGGCATAAGTATTTCTTTTTTCTTGATTGCAGCTAATGAAAATAAGCCCTCTAGTGAAATTTTGCTTCAATAAGCTATTTTGCAATCTTGAATTTTTCGGTATGTTTAATCAATAAAAATGAGACAGCTTACTAGTTAAAGATATCTTTTAAAACTAATGCATCATCTTTGTACTGTCTAAATAACAATGTAAAGACAAGAAAATGAATTTTACGAAGTTAAAATCACAAGTGAAAAAAAAATTGATCTCAATCACATATCTAAGATACTTTCTAAGATCTAAGCTACTTAAAAGAATCTTTAGTTGAGAATTCTTTAAAAAAATTTACCTTTATAAAATCACAATTTTTTTCAAATGAGGATATAAATAAATTCAAATAATTTCAATGCATTTCCTAAACACTTTTAAATGCTGTGCAAACTTAAAAATCATAAAATTTTGAAGGAAAAAAAATCATACACTGTAGCTGAGCATTAATAAAGTTAGAAAAGTACATAACGTTAATAAATTGTTAATACAAAATTATTATTTTTATATTTTGATAGAAAATAAAGTACTTGATCAGCTGTAGGAGACCGACATTTATCCTGTTCAGAGGGATTATCTCCAAGCATTACCATTGTACGTTTGGGTGAGCGTGGAACTCTTTGATAAGGGTCAGAGGAGCCTAAAATAAAGCAATTAACCATATATTGCAAAAAAAGTTTGATTCCACTACACATTACAAAATATATGCATATTTATAGAAGAATATATTTTGAAAGAGTAAAAGAGTAATGTTTTCATTTTATGAAATTTAAAGCAAAAACCCATTAATTTAATCCAAAAATTCATGAAGGTGAAAAAAAGGTTTGTGACCATTTTTTTTAAACTTAAAACCCTAATTTGCTTATTTTAAGTTTTGACTGAATATTTTCTTAGTTGTTTCTAAGAATTTTTTCAGAAAAACAATTGACAGAAAAATTAAAAATTATTGCTTTTTCAGAATGTTGCTTAAGTGGAACACAAATTGTAGATAGATTTCAAGAATCAAAGACAGTTGTACACGTTTTTTTATTAAATTCAATACATAATAGGAAATAAATAAATGCCAGTCATAGTTATGCTTCTCATCATCAACATCGCAATCTTGAGCAGTGATAAATGAATTTGCTACTTCAACAGCAATTATATCCATGCAAGATTTATTATTACATTTAGAAAAATATGAATCATTGTAAAAATTTTAAACATTTAAAATTCTCGAAATTATTTCAATATATTTCATTCCAAATTGCAAAACAAAAGAAAGTGATAAAATAGAAGGAAAACTTATAGATCAAATTAAATAAAAACAACACTTGAAAATTACCAAGCAGAAACGATAGTTAAAAAAGGCCATTGGATAACATAAATATTAAAACCCTGGACAAATCAGGATATTATAAGATAAACAGAATTTTTTAAAAAAACTTAATCTTAAAATTTCTGAATAACAAGAACTAATTTGTTATGTATGAAAAAATTTATTGTGAAAGGTGAGAAAAAAAACTCAATACATAGTGGAATCAGAAATGTATCACTTTTAAAAAAAAAAGCTGCAATGTGCTTCATAAAATAATTGTTTGCCATTAGTAATAAATAATAGTATGCTTGGATTAATAAACAATCTTCTGCTTTTCTTTCCTTAGAAAAGCATATGACTTTTAACGAAAACAGACGTGATTTCACTTAAAACAGAACTTGCAAATGATAGTGCACTTCTGAAGAATCAGAATTTATTCAATTTTAAAATATGTTACTCTGAACATTTGCTCTATGAATCATATAATAATATAAAATTCCAAACACAATTAACTAACTTTATTACAAGAAACTTTAAGTATTTAAATTTATAAAATATATTTATAAAATTACATAACTTACCATAAAGATCTGCTGTAGTCATGCAAGCAACACAACACTTTTGAACTAAATCTACAATGGTCAACCCATATTCACTGCCATAAGACATCCTTTAAAATTAATATGAGAAAGGAATGTTAATAATTTTAAAGAACAAAAAATATAAAGAGCACTCAATGCTTATAGAAAATAAATATAATATTTTCATAAGTTGCATTTAAGCTCAATCAAAAAATATTTTTTACTCTTTCTTGAAATAGTTCCACGAGTTTAAAATTAAATTTATAAGAATATGAAAAGAATATTATGGTACAGTCCCAAGGTATTTATAATACAGTCAACCTCGCTTAAACAAATACCATCGGTTCCAATCAAATTTACGCAACTAAGCAAGATATTTGGTTAAAAGGTTAGTGCAATATTCAATTTTAAGTTCTAAATTTGTGCGAAATCTTACTTTTTAATGGTATTTTATGCATAGTATAGCATTTTGAATAAATAAATTCTTTTTTATGATCAATAAACAAATATAATTAAAACTCTCTGTGTTCGTATCATAAAATATAAATGTCATTAAGTTACATAAAAATAAATGAAAAGTATAATATAGGTACTAAAATATTAATTAGTCCCTTTCGAAAAAATCTATAATTCAAGACTGTTTTTATACCAGTTTAATTCAACAATCTATCAAAATTATTTTCCCTTTCAATTTCTACTAAGACTTTCATAACTTGCATATTCCTTTCAAATACATTCAGAATGTTTTTTTTTCTAATACTTGAAACTTGAAAAATTCCAAATTAATGCACTACTTAAGTTTGGGATTTTATGAAATTTATTGTTTACAAGTTTCATTGTTTTTTTCCAATTAATTTAAATCATTCCTTTTTGCGCTCAACTTGCAACCAACTCAGAGTTATTCACTGGATTAAGCAATGATTATTCCACTTAAGAGAAAGATACACTGTACACTAGTGTGTGGGGTTTTTGAAACGTTTTCTTATCAAAGTTAATAGCGCATTAGGAGGGGACCACAAAACAAATCACTCTTATTTTTACATTCTAAATTATGAGTAAGTGAAGTCAAAGAGGGGTAAAACCCCCTTCGTTTACTTTAATGTATAACTGGCAGCAAGATTTGATTCATTTTTCAACTTTACCCCTAACAACTGATTAGACCAACTAATGAAAAGGAAGTCCCTATAAAAGTAACCATCTATTATATCCTTATCTTAACTGAAAAACAGAAATTCCATTTCAGCTAGGTGAAACATTTCTCTAAAATAAACAATTTTTTTTCATTTTCGTACCTCTTCTTTATGCAATTAGGCAGGGACAAAAACAAAAAATATCAGTTAAAATGGGGAAGTTGAACATTTTTTCATATAAAATGATTTGGTTCCATTAAATTTTGTTCGTATATGCAGGTTATTCAATTATCTGATATGCAATATCACCAAACATTCATTTAAATGCAGGGTAAAATTTTGACAGAATTTACTTCATACTATTTTTTTATAAGACACTTTGTCTCAGACTGTTCCTAACTACGCTAAGGCTTTAAAATATATAACAAAGCATAAAGCTAAAAAGATTAATATAAAAGTGAATCATTTGTACCTTTCCAAAATGGGAAAAGATTATCAATAAACACTGTACACAAAGTAACAAAAATGTATTATTACTCACCAGAAGTGACAATTGTAGTGCATGTCTTATATGTACTGTTATAATTTTTTACTTATAATATTATGTGAATTAGGATCAAAGTGTTTTCTTTTTTTCAGTTGTGATGGGAAACAAAAAATAGGTTGCCTGTTCTCCATTTACACAAAATATATTAAGTAGCCATAGTAATTTGATTTAAAATGCGGTTAATTTTATTCCAATATTAAATGTGTAAATTGCTGACATCAAGAAAGTATATAAATTAAAAAACATAATGACAAAACATTAAACAGGGAAAGGAATTTAAAGCATTTAAAATAAAGCAAAATCAAACTTACAAGCCAATTGTAGTATTGACTGTTAAGGCAGTTATATGCTGTGGTGAATCTCGATTAATTACAGGTGCTAAACAAACTAAGTCAGCTTGGAAACCTGGATTTCTCTTTGAATTACTCGCCTTGACTTTTGTTGGATAATACCCACAAGTCTATTAAATACATAAGATGTACATTTAATAACAATAAAGATAAAGAAAGGAGAAACAAAGCTGCATAACGAAATATATAAATATTAGATTATTTTAACTACACAGTAAATATGAAAGTATATAATGTATAAGAGAACAAAGACAGATGTTTCACAAATTTGGAAGTTTTCAATTAGTCAACCAGATAAAAAACAACCTTCAAAAAACTATTGAGACAAAATGAGCAAAAGAAACTGTTGTATCAAGTTTTTCCTATGTTTCAATATTTGTATTCCCTTGTTTTAATTTTCAATAGCTTAGTATTTAATTATATTTTTTTTTTAATTCCATGCAACTCTCTGGGTGTTGAGCTCTTGAGTAAAATTTTTAACAAATTTCTCTGTTGCACACAGCTTTGAATTGAAATTGCATGGTGGTTATGGGAGTAAGCTGTCATTGCGAAGGACTATAGTTCTATCAACAGTAGCAGTTTGAATCTCCCCCAACTTAAGTTTATTTGGAAAGTAAAGGCTGTCTGTGAGCAATGCTGACCACATTGCCACCATCGAGCTTTTGGTCATAAGATTATGACCAAGCCTCCATAACTGCCAAGACCTAATACAGACTTTTGAGAGAGCACCTTATCCGATTACCGGTATTTCTCAACCCGATTTACTCGAAGGATCAATAAAATATTTCAGTGTTTTAACGCGGACCAGAAAGGTTAATAATTTCGACTATTGGTATAATTTTTACATAAACAAAATAGTAGCAATTGCAAAATGTTTTGACCAGTTTCTTTCTGATTATTCATGTATTCTTTACAAAGAAAAATATTTTGAGCCTACAATTTTTTTAAATGTAAGTAGCAAATTAAGGTAATGATGTTTGTAGACCTGTGAATAGAATTTGTGGTGCGGCATTGGTCTGCAGACTGGTCGTTGAGAAGCATTGCTTCCTCTTACACATTACTTTTCCATTGAATAACATAAATATAAAAGTCTTTTGTAGCAGGGAAACCATCAAATTTGAGTTTACAAAAAAGTGAGACCAACATTCAGAGCTAAGCAATTGCAATTTTAGTTCAGGCCTTACTATTTTAGTTCGCAATTATATTATTTCTATTCATCACCTAAAAAGTAGTAAGAAGGTTTTTCATCTAGACCATATATAAAATTAACATTGTATAAAATTAACATTGTAGAATAATTTTAAGCATAGTTAGAAAGGATTAAAAAATCAATATATTTAAACTAAATTTAAGGGTGCACAACCTGAAGCCCACGGGCTACATGTGACCCATGTCAGTACCTGAATATACTAAGAAAATGATTTTTTTTTCCCTTTTTTTTGAAAAATAAAGCTATTTTAAACTTTAAATTGAGCAGTTAAGTTTTCGATGCACCCAATCCTGATCAATATAACATTTTGGCGGTTATCGCTTATGAATTTCTGTATAGTGTAAAAAATCCCAATAAACTTAGTATGAAATTTTTGCAACATGTGAAATTTGAAGTTGAGTCATCACTTTTGATGCTTTTCATGTGTACCAATTTCATTATAATTCCAAATGGTATTTAGATCATTTTTCAGCAGTAGATGATACACATTTTTAAGTGCATTTAAATATACCGTAATTTCGTGGAGAAACGCCGCATTGGTATACACGCCGCGCCCTCAAAAATTGGCTAAAAAATAAAAAACTTTCGGCGTACACGCTGCACCATCGTACACGCCACGATGAATTATACTATACCAAAGCAGGTATTGATTACAGACTTAAAACATGTTCTATATACGCATATATAACTTACACGCTGCACCATCGTACACGCCACGCCAGATTATACTATACCAAAGTAGGTATTGATTACAGACTTAAAACATGTTCTATATACGCATATATAACTTAAATAGTTAAATAAGAAACCAATAAAAGGAGATTAAATACACAAAAAAATTAAGCAATCCTACTAAAATGGATTTCAATAACTTTCTAAGTAAATATTAAGCATTTTCTAATTTTAATTTGAAGTAACCATTAAAATATGAATTAAACAATCAATGTAACAATAAGCATTAAAATTTTTAAAAATAAAACGATCTCACTTTTAAATCAGTCCAAACAAATTTTGTGCAAAGCAAAACTAAAATTTATTCATATATCACATATAATCATATATCCAGATATCAAATATAATCACATCCAACAGTTAAAAACCTTCAAAATCTGAGCTCTCAGTATCGGAGCAAAATAAGTTTATAAGTTCATTGTTTATTTCCGGGTCATCCCCGTCACTAGCACTTTCCGTTTCCTTTCCCCTGGATAAAAGTTCGGCTTTCTTGAAACCGTTTATTACGGTTTCTTTTTTCACAGCTTTCCACGCTTGTGACACCCATGCGGTGACCTCATCATAACTTGCCCGCCGCATGTGTCCAGATTTAGTAAAGGAGTGGATGCCGCGCTCCATCCAGTTTTCCCACAGATGCCTAACTTCTTGTTTGAAAACCCCATTCACAGTGAGGTCCAGAGGTTGCAGCACCTTTGTTAGGTCGCCGGGGATAACAGCAAGTTCCGTGGACAACTGTTTCTTGCACATATCTTTGATAGAGTCCATTTTATGGGAGCGCAGCGAGTCGAGGATTAATAATCCGCATGGCTGGAAAAAAGCACCTTTCCTCCTCCAATATACCAAATCCAGCCACTGCAGCATCATATCCTCGAATATCCACCCCTTTTCGTTGGCTCTAATTATCACGTCTTGAGGAAAATTACCTTTCGGTATTGTTTTCCTTTTGAAGATCAGCAACGGGGAAAGCTTCTCCCCCGTTGCGGAACACCCAAGCACACAGGTGAAGGCCATTTTTTTGTGGCCGGTGGTTACTACGCCCATGGACTTGGTTCCCGTTTCTTCCACAGTCCTGTTTGGAGGGCAGTCAAAGGAAAGCGCAACCTCATCCATATTAATCATTTGTCTGTGATTGAGTCCACGTTCCTCCATCTTTTTCAACACAAAAGTTAAAAAGGAAGCCTTTTTTTTCAACCCAATCAGTAGGCAATCGTTGACCTACTGTAGTTTTTTGCCTCACTGACAAGTTCTTCCTCTTCATGAATCGGAAGCACCAATTCGGGCCTCCTTTAAAATCTCAAATTCCCATCTGGGAAGCAATTAATTTTGCTTGCATGCGAATTCGAACAGTAGAGAGGGACAACCCTTTAGCCCTCTGCTCCTTTACCCATTCCGCCAGATTATCCTCCAGCACTGGCCATCCAACAGTGCCATTGCAACAAGCACACTTAGTTTTGGGTAGAGTAGCCAAGACACCCTCTTCAGACTTCCACCTTCGGATGCACCGTTCATCTACATCAAATTCTCGAGCAGCAGCCCGATTTCCAATTTCTTCAGCTCTTTTAATAACTGAAAGCTTAAATGCAGCCATATAACTTTTCCTCTTAATGGGAGGCATTTGAAATATATAACTTAAAAACAAGCTATGTTGAAATTTAAATAAAACAATATAACAAAAAAAATAACGAGACAAAAATACTAAAGAAAAAAAATATTAACAAAACAAAAATATTAACAAAACAAAAACGCAACAGAAGATCAGAATTAAAGATTAAACGATAAAAAAAATAAGCTAGGGAAGTAAATAATCGAACTCTTAAGGCAGAAATACGAGCAATGAAAAAAATTCAAGAAAAAGCACTCCCCTCCGAAGCATTTAAAACATGTTTCTATATTCCCCTCCCCTACCTTCTCTTCTCAAATGAGACTTCAGAAAACAGCTCTTTTTTATTTACTGACTCCGCCTAGGAGGGTGTAAAATTCACCCACATTGCTTCTTCCTCTCTTCACTGACCTTGAGTTGAAAGTTAGAAATTCTTCTTGAATTGTAAGAATATTCAAGGCCATCTCAAGCTCATTGGTCCCATTCATTCATCAATCATTCACATGTTTTTAACAAACAGCTGAAATAAAGGGGAGTGGATAATTACTGATGAAACCATGACAAGTGGAAGAGACATATTTCCCGGAAAAAAACGGGGAGGGGAGCATTTGTTTCACAGTGAATGTCATCACTGGCACCACCCTGATTTTCTTTATTCATTCCTTTCTGATTTATGCTTCTCCACTCCACGCCCGTCCCCTGCACTCAATTGCTGTTCCTGAGGCAGAAGGGAAAGAAAAACTTTTGTTCTCTAGCAGATAGCGGTTTCCAGAAAGTGATTNCTTTATTCATTCCTTTCTGATTTATGCTTCTCCACTCCACGCCCGTCCCCTGCACTCAATTGCTGTTCCTGAGGCAGAAGGGAAAGAAAAACTTTTGTTCTCTTGCAGATAGTGGTTTCCAGAAAGTGATTCTAAGAAGCATGTGGGAGGAGGAAATTCCAGGTGCGTTGACCATTCTTTGGAGCAACATTAAAGATGAAAAAATAAATAAAAAGCATAAGTAACAGGTGGAAAAAATGATGATGAAGTTTCCAGTGGAGCTTCTAAAAGGCAAAATTTTCTAAAATAATGCTATGTAGAAAAAAAAAGTAATGCTATATAGGCCGCCTAGTTAGATACACCTTTTTATTAAATTTTCAAGTTTTAAATCAATAACGCCGCGGCCTGTCTCCGAGAAATTACAGTACCCATTTTGGCATTGCTTCATTTGTGTGAATTTAATTGCAAATCCAAATGACTTTTGATAATTTCTTCAGCAGATATAGCTACATATTTTCACGTGATTTTAAAATTTCCATATATTTAGCATCACGAATCATGAGTATCGAATCGCTCATTTTAACTAACACTTTTGAACATGCTTAATTTGTGACGATTTTATTTAAATCCAAATTATTTTTCAGTCATTATTTTGGCAGTTATTTCTCAGCATTTCTAAAAGATTTGGAAAGTTCTGGTATTTTAATAAGTTATTATTACAACACTTGAATTTCTAATCACGCATTTAAAGAATCACTTTTTGATGCATTATATTTGTGCTGTATTAATCATAAATAAAAGTGATTTTTTTAATGTTTTTTTAACAGTTATTACTATGCTTTTCCAGGCGGTTTAAAAAATCCTGATATTTTTAAATAGTATATTATTACAGTATGCTAGTTTTGAATCATGTATTTAAATAATCTTTTTTACACATTTTAATTATGCCAATCTTAACATAAATCTAAGAGATTTTTTTATTGTTTTGAGGCAATGATTGCAGTTTCAAAAATCCTGATATTTTTACACACACACTATAATTGCAACTCCTAAAATTGGATTTCATTTAAATTTCTTGTAGCTTAAAAAGTACTTTTTGAAAAAAAAAAATATTTAGGATTTATAAAAAAAACTTTAGAAATTGCTTAAAATTCAAAGCCTTAAATTTGAAGCATATTCCCTACTAAATGCAGAATCTCATTTTAGGCTGTAAGGGTTTCATTTTAATTTAAATCGTTTTAAACCCTATAAACTTTTTTAAATTAAGTATTTAACTCGCACTGTTTTATGAAAGTTAATCTCAAATAAAACTCAACGGAAAGTTAAGCTCAACAGAATATTTAATTTTTTTTAAATATAGTTCTACGAATATTAAAGTTTTTTATAGTTAGAAGCTATTTTAAAATGAACTTTATTATGTAATGTGATAAAGAAAACATGGCTTTTACCATAGTTGCATAGAGCAAATAGCCCTTCATTTAAAAAGGTTGTGCAGCGCTAAATCAAATGAAGATAATTCATTAAAAATTTTAACAAATACAGATAAGAATAATTCTAATTTTTTAAAATGTATTATACTTAATTCTTGCTTACTCGTAATTATTAATATTTATTGAATTGCAGTATTTGAACTGCAAGCATAAAAAACATAAAGGTTTTGCATAAATAACTTAATTTCTACATAACCCTTCGAGCGTTGAGCCCAACAACAAAATTTTATTCAAATCTCCCTATAATATGTTACATTCCCTTTCAATAACATTGGGGAAAACCTGTTTTTATGCAAAATTAACACTGCAATTGAAAGTTTGGAAAAAGCAGTCTGAAAGCGCTATTAAAAAATTTAGGAGATACAGCGAAACATTTTACCGTTTTTGCAGCTTCTGCTTGTGGAGTTACATTTTGACTGGAAGAAGCATCACCTTCTGGGTTATCTGGATCTTCATCTGTTTCATAAAACACTGGAATTTCTAGAACCTAAATTAAAAAAATAAGAAATCAGACATTTTTATTAGTCACTTTAGAGAATGCATATAATTATAGAAATAATCTATTTTGAAGTGACTAATTCAGAAAATTAGTCACTTCAGAAAATTTAGTAAGTTTAGGACATTTTTTAAAATATATAAAAACCAGGGGAATTTTTTTTATTTGATCAGGAAAAACTAACAAAACTCACAAAACTTGAGAGCTAAAAGCAATTAAATTCTGGTTCAAAGATAATAAATACCTGCCTTATTCAAATGTGTATGAAATATAAGACATAAGTATTTATATTTAAGTTTTACATGTTAACGAATTCACCAACATGATGCATTCTTCAGGTGATCATTTTGTTAAACTGATTAATAAAATTAATTGCTTAAAATTCCTTGCACAAGTTATCTCAGAGAATTCAAAAATTAAGCATTTAAAATGTGTTAAATATTATATACACAGTTTTATATATATTAGTTAATATTATCTTATTAAATCATAAAGCTCTAAAAGAAGTGTAAAAATGTCATAACTTAAAAATTTTATGGTTTGTAAATAACAAGGCAACATTTCCAAGTTCAAAGATCAGCAACATTTCTTAGAGGAAATTAAAACCTTTTCTGACTTGTATTTTGAAGTCATTATGTTCAATAAAATAAAAACACTTAAGTTGATATAACCAATATGAAATTACAGTTTTAACCATTGGAGCATCAAGGATCTGAATATGTTTATACAATGTTACTTTTTCAAAATATATTGTTTTTTTAATTGAAGATATAGAAAATAGTGTTCTATTTAAAACACAAAGGTGGACTATTCTTAACAACATAGTTAAAATTTTTAGAAGCTGACAAAAATTATAAATGGAAACAAGATTTTGCTCTCTTCCACATGTTACAGTATGTACAGAGTGCAAAATAAAAATTAATCATCCTGAATAACTTTTGATTTAAAGATCAGATTTTCACATGCTAGGACTCAATCTTAATGGTTTGAGAAGGTAACCTCAAAATGATAGTTTATTAGAGCAGATTGTATTCAAAAGTCAGACACATAAAAGTACAATCTCTAAATAAATATACCTTTTTTTGACATATTTGGATTTCTGATCCTCAGAATATAAGGGGTAGCAGCAATCTGGGAAATATCGTCACAATAGATTGGTCAGGAAAATGAACCAAAGTTAGAATCTCTTAATCTCCAAAACTATTTGACCGATTTCGTTCAAATTTTGAATTTTTTCTCCCATAATTACGTTCCTTTAAATGATGTAAAAATTTGGAAACCTTACAACTTGAAATTTTTTCAACTATTATTAATTGAAATAATAAAAATTAAAAATAAATAATATTATTAAACAGTATTTTTTGCATGGAATTATCTTTGGGCAAACAATTTCATAATTATGTGCAAAAAATTTTCAATTCACATAAAAAATAACCAAGATATGGCAAAATATGCACAAAAATTAACAATATGTGGTCCAAATTTTGGACTTCTCTCCTGACAAAACAATCGGGACCATTTTTCCTAGATTGCGGCTGCCCCCATGTTTTGCTGGTCAGAAATCCAAATCTGTTGGAAAACAGTATGCTTATTCATAAAAAGTACAATTTTGTGTCTGATTTCATACCTTAAGATATTGTCTGCACAAATTAATTAACATATTTGAGGTCACAACTCGAGGCAATAGGGTTGAGTTCTAGTACATGAAGATCCAATCATTAGATTAAATGTTACTTAGAGTGATTTTTTTTTAAACTACACCCTCATTATAAATAATTGTTATTAATTAATTTTTAAATGCATATAAAGAATACCATTGAAGGAAAACAAATGTAGTCAAAGTAACAGAATTCCCAAAAAAAAATTTCTTAAACATTTTTAATAAATCCAGTAATAATCAATCTGAAAACTACTTATATTGAATAGTATTTATTACTTACAGTTATTTCTGTTTGAGATTCTTGTTGCTGAAATTGAAATACTATAACATGTGAACTAGCATCAGCAACACAAAGTGTTCTGGATTCTGAACAAAAAGCAACATGCTCAATTGCAAATGGATCATCATCACCTCCATCAGATGACAATTTTGGCTTTTCAAATATTCGGGAAATTTTCAATTTGTATAAAATTTGCAAAGACACTGCAAAAAAACACAATATTTAATTACACATATGAAGAATATATTTTAAAACTTTGTACTTGAAATCCATAAACAAGCAAAAGCTCAAATTAACAGTGCATATTTAATTCGAAGTACATAATTTAATAATAGTATTTTATATCTAATGAAAAATACACCACCAATTTTAAAAGTCATAGCAAAGTGTTTGTTTATAAGTTATGTATTTCAAACATATGAACGTGTTCCAAGTGCATGTTACTGTGCATTTTTATTTCTTAAAAAGTTATTTAAAAATTTGGTAATTTTTGCTAATTAATTTTTAAAACAGATTCAGAGCAGGTAAAATTAAGAGTTTTGGAGCAGTTCAGAAAAACATATTTTTAAAAGTTACTATGGTTTGAGAACTAAAAAAGAAGTATTTTAAGTTACAGCGTAATAAAAGTGTAGACATTTAACTTTAACATGCAAAAAAGTTTGAAATAAATAGTCAATGTATAGTGCACAAAAAAGACCTGTCCTGAATAACTTTTGATCCAATGATCGGATCTAATGATCGGAGGGCTGTTATGTAGAAATTCCTGAAAAGAAATGTTTGGGCAGGCAAGGGAAAATTTCTATGCTCACCAGCATTTTATATTTTTAAACCTCTATCAAACAAGATGTCTGGCATATAAAACAAAAGAATTTATATTTTAATTTTCTCAGAGCTTAGGCAGACCTCCCAGAGGCAAACGAAAAAATTTCAGATGTTTTAAAAAAAATCAGGAACTTTTTGGAAAAGTATACAGATACCAAACTAATTTTAAAAAAGGCATGTGACAATTCAATGAATTTACTCTACTTATATATAAAAAAGGCAAATTTTATTACAGAATTATAATATAATGTACTATTTTTAATTTCAGAATAACTCATTTAAAACAAAAAGTTTACACATTTTCACTGAACAACTCATGTAGTTTGAGGTCAACATAGTGAAGAAAAGAAATTTGAGTTAAAAAATAACCAATATCAATTAGTTAATACTGTCTTATACATAGTCCATTTTATACAACATTTTTCATTACTTAATTAAAACTTGTAATCAAGTTCAAAATTTCTTAAATCGTATAATCTTAAATAGAGATTTAAAAATCTCAAAATGAAATCACAGTTAATCTGCTAAACATTTTGTGTACAAAAGTAAATTAGTGGACAATCTTTCAATTCATTTATACAAAAATCTAAGTAATTACTGTACTGTTGATTGAAATCAATCTTTTTTAAAATCAGATGAAAGAGAAAAATGAATAATTGTTAAATTATAAAAATCCACCATCCAAGATTTACTACTTTATTCCCTGAAAATAATAAATTAGTTCATGAATTCGAATTCCTCACCATAAAAATTTGATAATGTAAAATTGCTAAGCAAGTTTCCTTTTTATAAAATTACTAAATTTCCAAAATGTTTAAAATTATAAATCCTGCGGGTGAGGTGATAAGCCTGAACCATGCACATAATTAAAGGAAATTTCTTAAGTTTGAACTATCGAATTTAGTGATCTTTCTAGCATTATTAATTCAAATAACTAGTTGCTGGATCAAATATTCAAATCTTTCAATTTTTCAAATAGTTTGTAATAGCCCTAGATTCATAAATAACACATGGGAAATAAAAACACAAAAAAAACTTTAAATCTGAAACTTGATTAATTTAAAATGAAAATAAACACTATTTATTTTTAAGTCTGTGAGATGAATGTTTATGAATCCAGGGTTAAAGTTGGCATTTGTAAAGAAGAAAATTAGATGACCTATACCTGAACTGACAGTAATATCAAGAATATCTAAACAAAAAGCTAAAACTCAGGATAAATAAGAACACAATATACTTTAGCAAGAACACCAAGACAACTAAAAATCTTGTTAAGGTATTTCATCTTGTGAACATCCCATAGTATGCTCATTAGAAAAGTTTACAGCCAGACTTATATCAAAGTTTATAGTGTCATAATATTATTTATTATATTAAAAAGAGCTGAAATGGTAGTCTTTTAAGTGAATTTCTAATGAAAAAAACACAACAACAATAAAAAGACATTTCTAGAAAAGCTACAAACTACTAAAACTTTACTGCGATATATTTTATATTAAAACTAATAGAAAAACACTAACATCAGTTTTAACCTAAAATTATTACAATTCTGCTTTATGTAAATTTTATAATTATAAACACAAAATGTACAGGCACTTGATAAAATTTTAAAAAAATGCACAAAATAAAATAGTTGTTTTCAAAGAACTGGAAAAAAAATTTACCAGATGATGCATCCCAAAATTTTAAAGATCCATCAGCATGACTATAAAGAGAAAAATAAGAAGTTACATTTTATTACACATAAGTAAATTTCTAGGAGATTCACAAATAAAAAATTTCATACCCAGTAATGATGACTTCAGGATAACTTTGGGTAGACATTCCCCATCCCCCACCATCAATGGGCCATTCCTGAAAAGTTAATAGTTTTCAAAATTAAAATCAAGCATTGTAGTGGCCCAAAGAAAAAAAAGGACAGCCTTTTTAAAAAGAAATTAGGATATTTTTGGAACAGTATATAGATACCAAAACTTCTATCAAAAAAAGCAAACTAAAAATGTATAATTTGTTTCACTTAAGTAGGGATTTACGGCACAAAAATAATAAAATATTCTATTTTAAAATTCAGAATTACTATATTTCTGAATTTCTTTGATTTTGAACAGAAAGTTTTAACAGATTCAAGTATAGTTTTATCACTACCTAACAAATCATAAAAGTTTTAAATCAATGTATGAAAAATTTGTATAGTTCTGTTGCATTAATAAAATAACCAGTATCAATTAGTTAATAATCTCACACGCCAATATATAATTAAAAATTGCAACTGAGTTCAAGATTTTTCCTAATCAAATAATTTTAAAGTAGTGTTTCACTAATTTCAAAATAAAAACACAATGAATATGCCCTTAACATTTTTATACATTATTGGATTGTTGATTGGAATAGATAATTTTTAAAATTGGATGAAAGAAACTAATCAATTAGTGTGAAGCTACAAAAGTTTACCAAAAAAGATTTGTTACTACATTTGCTATAAATATGTTTAGCAAATATTTATGATGCTTGAATTCATCACCATAAACAATTTATAATATAAAATTGTCAATTAAGTTTTCTAATAGAATGAATAACTCTCCAAAAGGTTTAAACAATTAAATCTGTGGGTAATGTACCATACTTAAACCATGTCTAATAAAAGGTCTCTAAGTTTGAACTATCGAGTTTTGCGATTTTTACTAGCATTATTAATTAAAATAAAAAGATGCTGGAATAAAAATCTAATTCTGTAGTTATTCAAATCGATTTTCTAAAATCTGCATTCGTATTCTTAGAAAATAAGATGATCTAAACAGAAACAAAAGTCAGATATATCAGGATACAAGGCTAAAAATCAGGACAAATAAGGAAAAAATATTTTTTTTACCAGGAAAAGTAAAAATATCAGGACAACTACCAATCCTGTAAACATGAAACCTCATGACAGTTTTTGTAGTGTTGTACATTTATGAACTTATAAGTATTTTTACATATTCCTACAAAAGAATGGTAGAATTAATTATTTTATTTTCAAAAAAAACACTTTAAGACTATTTGCCTGGAAATTAAAATGAACTTTGAATAGTTTTGAAATCATATTTAGAGTTTTCTCACTTATGTCTGCAGCTTATACACTTCTGCTTTAAATTCAAAACTGATATCTTTATCCAACACTTTAATTTTGATTTAATTGTAGCTAAAAAAAAGTAGGCAACAGCCTTAGCAACTTAAAAAGGGATGTAAAACAGAGACTTTATTTTAAATCTTTGATTGTAAAGCTAAAATGACAAGAGCTTCCCATAACAAATTAACAAAATAATGGTAAGATGTGCTGCATGTGTATGAGGTGAAAATATATTTCATTCTGATTAGTAGAAGACATTTACAATTAGATGAATTATATAAAAATTCATATTAAAATTAAAACAAAATATAAAGATTTGTCCTCACTAAAATAAAATCTTCAAAAATATTTTATTTTATTTTATAAGCGTCAATAAACGCCAGACCTAATTTTGAGTTTGCGACTACCAATGTTCAACTCTGTAGTCTCGTAAATTTAAATCCCATCTAGAAGACAAGGAAATTCTTGGATCAGGTATTAAAAAAGAAAAGGAAAAGTTTGAGACCTTATAAATATGTATTTAAAATACATTTAAAGTGTTTTAAGCAAGGCACAATAAAAATCTTTAAAATAAAAACTACATAGTATCTTTGTAAAATGCATATTAAATTAGCTTTATATGTGGTAAGATTGATCCAGGGGGGAAATTATCTAATGCACTTGCCAGGGCACAGGGGAAAAAATAAAAAAAGAAAGTGAGGCAAGTTAGTTTTCCAACAGATGATTAAAATAAATAAGAAAAAAATAACTATAATGTATAATCAAATAGAAACAATATTTTCTGACGAAGATTGAAGAATTTAGCAGAGTCCATATCAGCTTCTTTATTTCTAAATATTACTAAGAGCATAAAGTAGATTTTAATAAAAAATAGAGAATAAAAAAAATCATTCATAACATTTTAAAACATAATCAAAAACAATCATCTAAGTTTCCAGGAAGGAAAACAAAAATAAAACTTTTTTAATAAAAAAATTATAACAGAAACAGTAATATGAGAACATTGTTTACATTAACTACTGTTATAAGTACAAAAATTTTGATTTAAAATCTATTTGCAACTATGCCAGCATGGAATAAGAATTTTCTTTTAATAGTAAATTTTTTTAGTTTAAGTACTCCAAATATATAAAACTATTTCACTATAAAGCAAAAATATTTCATAAATTGTACATTTATTCACACACTATTTCGCTTCAAACAATAGTTCTAATACTAATGCTAATAACAGAATACAGTAAAACTTGTGTAAGTTGACCACTTGTTTAAGTTGACCACTGAAACAATGCACCACAAGTGGTCAACTTATAGAGGGGGTGGGTCATTGTTTACTTTTTCGTTTTCTATATCATGTTGCTATATATATATATATTTTTTACTTGACTTAAAAATTTTCGAATGAACTTCAATTTGATACATATAATTCTAATATTTAACTAATTTCTTTTAAAAAAATTATTTCGTTATTTATGCATGTGAAGTGTTTAATAAATATAATTTCTTAAAATATCAGAACACGAAAACATGTAATTTGAAAACTTTAACAAAATAAAATTATTTGAACACTTTAAAATTTATTTACTACACTTAAAGATCAAAGACCATAAATAAAGGATCAAAGCATATTTCAGAGCATTCATTTATTCAAATGCTCACTATTGCAACTGGAAGAGCAACTTCTCAACTAACACACCTGTTTTCAATGAACAGATGAAAGAAATGGTTAAAAGCTAACCCCTTACAGTTTCCCCTGATGGTCAACTCACAAAATAGTTTAGATTAGCTTTTTACACTATTTCACCAAACAAGTGAAAGTTTAACATACATTGCAAAAATGACAGAAAGTGTTCTGAATTNACCTCTGAAATTATCCTAAACATTATTGAATTTTTTAGCATAATTATTCAAATTTGTTTAAATATATTTAGACGAATAAACAAATAACAATAATGTAAAATATTTTATTATTCCACAATTTTAAATTTATAGTTACCTTCTCTGAAAAGCTCTGATTCTTCTTTCCTTTTGAGCCAGTTGAATAGAGAGCAGGTATAAGATCATTTGGGCAATCAGCAAGATATGTGCAACTTGTGACAGGTGATTCATGTAAGTCCATAGGGTAGGGATTTTGATAGCATGGATACCTAAGAAGATAAATTAATTTAAAATTATAATAAACCCTGATAAAGTATAATTTTTTTCTTATGAAAATTGTTTTCCATTATATCATGATCATGAATTAACATCAATTATTAATTTACACAAAAATAAAAACTAATATTCTTCTTTCTAGGCACTATAGCCTGTTACAGGTCAAGGCTGTCTTAAGTAGTCTTTGCCATCTGCTCCCCACTTACAGCAAGGCTCTTCCAGTTTCCTTTAATTACTATGGGAAAGTCCATTTAGACCGAGTCAAGCCACCTAATTGGTGGTTTTCCACTTTTTCTGTTTCCCATAAGATTAGTAAAAGTGAGCTTTCTTAAATGATTTGTATTATCAGACCGGAAAAGATGGCCAATTCATCATAGTGTATTGCATTTTATGACTTGAACAATATTAAGTTGTATGTATTTTTGGTAAATTTCCAGCTATTATTTTCATGGACTGCACCAAATATTCTTTTCATGATTTTTCCCTTCAAAGGTCAATAATTTATTTTAAAGTAACTAGGTTGTTGCCGAGCATTTACTCCAATAAAGCAGAATAGCTAAAGCAGAATAGCAGACAGCTCTTTATATATGCTAATTTTTATTTCTGAACTTAAGAATCAAGATTTAAGTTGATCTTTGCATTTATTTGATATGGTAAGCCTGTTGTTTATCTCGACAGTCAAGCTATTGTTAGTAATAATGAAGGTCCCAAGATATTTGAACTGTGAAATTCTTTCAAAAATGTAATTCTTCATCTAGTAAATGGCTGGGTGTAATAGTAAATGGCTTCTAGTAAATTACTGAGGATTAGGTGCAGCATGTGAAACCTCGATGAATTTTGCTTTATTCTTTGTTTATTTCTAAGACCAATTTATCAGCCTCAATTTCTAATAAATTTAATCCCTCTGTAAAAGATTTCCACTATCTACCTTTAAGGCGATGTCATCAGCAAATGTAGAGTTTTGTAAAGTCTTCTCGTAAATGGTTCCTCTAGCTATGAGACCAGATACTTTTTTCTGAGCCCAAGTTGAACAGTAGACACAACAAAAAAACCATAATATCATTAGTTAAAAAAATTTGTAATTCTATTTTGCTTAAAACTATAAATCCAATATTAGTTCATTAAAAAAACCACAGATGTATTTCAATAACTAAATAATAAGAAACACATTGGTTGCAACTTTATCATTCTTTCAGTATACTACATTGAACCAATTTGTAAAAATAATTAAATAAAGTTAAACAAAGTTATACCAATAGTTAAACAAAGTACTTTCAGTAGAAACAAAGTTAAACAATAATCTACAGTAAGAAAACAGGACTAAAATATTCCTTTTCAGAGAGAAATAAAAACAAAAAGTAATCAATATAATGAAGCCGTGTTTCATCCATAATAAAAATCAACTAAAGGAGCACTTATATCAAAAATATCAGTAGCATTCTATGACTTTAATAAAACAAAATAACTCTGAATTTAATTAAAAAAATACTAAAAAATTAAATATTTTGATAAAAATGATAATACATTAAAAAACATAGTAACCTCATAAATCAAAACACACCAAAAAGTAGTTTTAACTGAAACCTACCCTGAGCTTGTTAGATCTATGACAACAAGATCATTATAGAGTAAAACAACAATGGCATATGGATCTTGATAGTCTAGAACAATAATACAAAATTAGAATATTCAGTGTAGGGAAATAAAATAAGATAAAAACCAAACATACAAAAGTAAGAATCATACCACTTGGCCAAGGAGTTTCACACAGCATTACAAAGTCTATTATGCTGTGTTCCATCTCCAAAACTGTTGTTGTTTTCCCATGAATAACTGTAACACATGGATTCAAATTTCCTTGGTCTAATGGCATACCACCAGAAAAAGCAATAAATGAATCACTAGAAAAAAAATTAAATAAATAAGTATTTAAAATAAAAATATTTTCAATAACAAAACATTGTTGAGAAAGCAATTTAATGCAATGACTACCTATTAATATTCAAAAGGCATATAAAAACTATGACTAACTTATTAAAAAACAACCGGACTTGCTACTTTCACACTTGGTACCATTACATTCAAATTTATAGGACACAGAATAAAGATTCCAACAATCCATTGTTTCTTTAGTTAAGTCAGCTTACTAATGTGATAAATGATTTTGGAAGTAAGTATAATTTCTTATAAAAACAAAGAAATCAAAGAGTGAAAATTTTTTGACAAAATATACAAGAAAATTTGAGTTGCTAACCTAATATAAAACAGTTTTTGACATAGAACAAAGTTTAATAGAGTATATCATAAAGATCTGAAGTTATATTAAATTTTTATTCCTAACAAGAAGTGAAGACACATACCAGAAAATTAGGCATTTCATAATCAATTATAAAATAATGGCTAAAACAGAACAAAGCAAGTTTCATTCTAAAATTAATCCTTCACTCCATACTTTATAAAAATGAAGAATAATTATTTTCATATGCAGGTTGGTCAAGGAATACAGGAAAAATGAAGATAAAAAAATCAGTTATATTTTGAAGTGGGAAAATAATTTTGTCACCTTGTTTAGCTGTAAAACTGTATGTACAATGTTTAAAATTCACTGATACCCTACGTAAATGTAAACAGTAGAATCTTTGCAATAATGAATACAAATCATAAAAAAACTGAAATATATGAAATGAAATGACTGAAGTTAAAAAGATCAATAATAGACACCCAAATTCTAAATCAAATCAGAACAGCAATTATCTCTCTTAACAAAATGGCAGTAGATGCCAAACTAACAAAGCTTCACGAAAGGAAACAGCATGTCCTCAATGTTGAAACTGGCACAGACTGATGGTAAATCCTTTTTTCTTATCAAGACAAGCACCTTTGTAAATATTCAAAGCAATTTTCAATGATAAAAAAGTAGCCAGAAGAGAAAATCCAATTCAAACTTAGCTTTCCAGATATGCAAAATGGCACAGAGTCAAAGAAAAAAATATGCTAGTAAATTGATCACAGCAAATAACTTGTTAAAAACAATAAGTAGCGATATATAGAGGTAAGTTCAAGATCTGGAATCCTCAGAATACCTGCAAGTTCATAGAATGTTTTTTTCCTCCAGAAAGTAAGTCTAAAGATAAACAAAGATCGAACATGTATTATTTAATAAACATATAAATAAATGATAATTAACGTCACAATGTGTAAGCTTAACATGGCTGTGTGTATTAGCCCGGCAATAGTAAACTGGTTGATTGTCAGTTAATTATTGTTGTTCTCATTGATCAAAATTAAAATAATCCACTGCAGAAAATTAGATACACCTATAACACCCTAATTAGCATCATCAGTTCAAATAATCATGATGTATACTGATATTCTTCAATTTAATAAATTTTGTTAAGAATATCTTTACATTTTAATAAAAATGTAAAATGAATATATAGTATTTGTCTAAAAAAGAAATCATTCAGTTTATTTTAAATTGCACAAAATTTTTCTTAATATTATTCATCAATGTAAAATTCTTTTTTGATTTAAAAAAAGAAAAAAAGAGCAAAATAATGTTGTTTCCACTGTAAAAGTCTCTCATCACTAAAATATTGCCAGCTTAATCTTTTTTTTCTTTTGTAGGTTTCAAGTTTAAAGAAGCTAAAATTAAACAAGTTTGAATGAAATGGAACATTCGTAGAAATATTGCTGGAATTAGCCTTGTTAGGAAAAATTCGATAATCAATAAAAAACTGTCAATTTTAGAATTTTATTTATACATTTTCTCCTTAATAAATATTTTTACAACTGCTAAGAATTGAAATACAGAGGAGAGAAAAATACAACTACAAGAAAAACATAACTGCAACATAATATCTATTTGATTTTAAACAAGCCAAAACAAGATGCTGAATGTTGTGTAGTTACACACTCTAACCAGATTTATTTTAAAAAAATTAGTACAAAAGAGAAATCAAATTGAAGTAAACTATAAGCAACTTAATGAGAGTGAATGAAGTAACTTAGAGAAGAACAACCTACAGCCCTCTAATGATTACAATATACCCTATCTTCAAACCAAAAAAATATTTGGCAAAGGACATAATTAGCATAAGAAAATTTTAAATGTCCTTCAAACTTCTTTTAACAAATTTGGAAGTCCACTGAAATTATAACATTACAATTCCAAAATACAAAAGATTATTTAAGAAACTTTTTTACATTTTGATAATTTAAAAGAAAATTTATTTCACCAAAACATGTTCTAAACAAATACGGTTCAAGGATTTATTTAGAAATTAAAGATATAAAAAACTTATGAACAGTAAAAAAAAATTCTAAGAAAAAGTTATAAAGTGCTATAATTTAACCTTATTAAATGAGCAATATACAATTTTATAATTTTTATTATTAAAAAATACATATTTTTTCAATTTATATGCAAATCTGATATTGTTCTTATTACAATGAAAAAAAATGAGTTGCACATAAAAGCTGAATTTGTTGTGACTACAGAAATGCAATATATTTCTGTAGCCCTCATCTAAAAATATTTGTGAACCCTAATAAAACTATTATAAACATTAGGTAAAACAACTCATTAAATACTATCACAGATATTAATAAGCAAATAAAATAGGAAATACTTGCTCAAACTTGAAATCTTTAATAAACATATTAAAGCTTCCAAGTTTAAGAATGTTTCAAGTTTAGGATTGTAATGATTTTTAAACCATGCAGTCTTACCTCCCACGAGCAGTTTTCCATTCAACTTTACTGATTTGCTGGCAACTTTCTGGATTTCCCTCTTTAACAGATTTAGCTGAAATAAATTATACTTGTTGAAAAATTGCATAAAGTTTCATGTAAAATAAAATTATGTTAAAATAATGTGACAATAGAAATCAGAAAACAAAGTACACCTTTTTGCTCATTGTGTCAAAAATGTAGTAAGAGCATGCAACAAAAAAGCTGTTTCCAAACTGCAGAACCCCATTTTTAATAATAATGCAATTTAATACAATCTTATTAACAATAAAGATCTAAATTCAAATAAGTTTTAATTAACACTGTAGCTATTCATTTGACTCAGACAATGAATTAAAAATTTACTTATCATGAACTGATCATGTATTAGGTTAACCGGAAAGTAATGCCGTTTTGGTGCATTTGATATTTATTATCAAGATTTTATTTTTAATCAGTAATGTATTCACCCTCATTAGCAACAACTTTTCAATGCCGGATTGAAAAGGAATTGAAATAGATCTTTAAAAAATCAATTGTTTTTTAAGACTAATGAATATTTAATGCACCGAGACGACATTACTTTCCGGTCCACCTAATACTTATCATGATTTGATCCCATAGATTATATTAAGTTGTTTTTGTTTTCGAAATATTTCATAAGTATTTTGAAATCACCTAATAAAATTTTTAACATATGTTTGTGTCTTGGAGGTTGGTGGTGATCTGTTCAGGGAGAACATGAAAATATGATTAATGGAAAAAAGCACCTTGAAAAAAAACTAACTCAAATCATTTGTTTCCAACAAAGTGTTTTAACTGAACTAAACGCTTGAATACTTAAAGAACATAAGGGTGAATAAGAAACATAATAAAATTAGTGAATAAGGTTAATCCTAAATATAAGTTTTATCTAAGGCATGAGTGTCACTAGAGTAGGGGATGATGAAGACAAGTCCTCCTCAATAATCTCAAAAATGTCCCCCCTAATATTTCAAACAAATAAAAAAATTCACAAGTTATTAATGATTTAAGTTCAGTTAAATTAAAAATAAGGTAAGAAAATTTTTTAAAAATTATCATTCTACATACATTCAGCAAATGGAAGAAATATTTTTAATAATTTTTTTTTGTCAATTCTTTTGTTCAAGTAGCATAGTCTAATTGAATTGAGTTTATCAAAGAAATGTTTAATAAATGCGTCATTACAAAAAAAAACTAATTTAAAAATCCAATTATATTCTTTTATATCTAAGCTTGACTAAATCAACACTTAAAGTTTTTTTTTATAGTTATCTTAAAATGTGAAATTTTGTGAACTACTGAAAAAATTTGTTTTTATCTCAATCCCTCCCCATGAGAAAAGCCCAGGATCTAAGAATACAACAAAAAAAATGAATAAATACTTTTCCATGCATATTTGCCAAAAAAATTTGTGTGTTGTCTACAATTACAGATTTGCAATGAATAATCTAGATTTTTATTTAATCAACACTCAAAACTAGATTAAATTTAGAGGCATTTCATTTGTACAACCTTAACTGATCAATAAAAAAACTTTTTTTTACTGATAAATAAAAAATAAACTTTTTGATATTTTAATCTTTCAGATGTAATACAAAAATAACTTACCATGAGGAAACATTACAGATTCCGGTTTGGAAGAATTTTTTATATTCCATGTCTTAATACTACCATCAGAATAGCTGCACATGAATTGTCTTCCTTCATGGTGCCATGAAGCACTTTTCAAAGACTAACAATAGAAATTTATATTAAATCAGAAAGGATGAAAACGTTTAACTAGCAGCAAAGAAAATTAAGAGAACATATCTAAATAATCTAAAAAACAAATTTATATTTCAAAAGTAGTGAAATGTTTATATTGAAAAAAAAATCACTCTATTAGTTCTTAAAACCCATCTTTAGTTCAGAGAAAAAATTTGTAGTCTACAAAAATTAAATAAAGACTTGAAGAAACTTATGTTGGGGCACAACCAAACAAGTCTGCTTTTGCGGTTACTGTTAGTAATCAGAAAAAATATAAATTATGAAAAAAAACCTAGATATTTTATGAACCAAAAATAGAAACTTTGAGCTAATATTAGACACAGTTTTACTAGCACACAAGCTGTAAAATGCAATGAAAATAGCATCAATGCTTTCTCACCATATCACTGATGTCCAAAACTTTTAACAGTAATCCAGTTAAGATTTTTAATAAAAAAAAACTAAATTTTAATCACTAAAAAAACGGAAGAAAAGTATATGTAAGCAAAACTAAAGTATATGTAAACAAAGCTAAAAATACTAAAGACAAGGAATAGGTTAATGATGAATAAGACAAAAAAAATTGTAATATGAGAATAATATTGTGTTTTATAATCAGTTTTTTTTAAATTCATTTTTGTAAGTATACCGAAATTAAAATTTAAAACAAAAAAGACTTTAAGGCAAACTAACTTCTGTAGATGATATATAACTCATTACTTCCTGAAATATGAGGTGAGTTCAAAAAATAAAGCAATATTCCATAGCACATTGAGCCAATGTTCGCTTTTACATTGACATTTTAGTTTTCCTTTCACATATGTTTGGAATTTTCATGTCTAATCAAGCTTGAATAAGTCATATTTACACTGAGTAATTTAATTCAGAATCCTGCCAAATCAAAAGCCTATTCAAAAAATCTCAGGGAAGATACAAGTTCAGCATTTATTATGAAAGACTAATGGAACTATCATTTCAGTGTATTTTGAAAATTCATAATATCACCATAAATGTCTTCAAATTTTCTGTTAATATCCACTGCATGCCCTCACATCTATATTATGAAAACATATGATGGAGTATGCTTTCATTTGATGAATTTTGAGTGAACATGTTCATTAAAAGCAAAGCTTTATTGAACCAAACTTATCATAGAAAAATTCAACAAAAGCAACATCATTGAAAATGCTAATTTAAAAATCAAATTATATTTTCTGATATGTAAGTTTGGCTAAAAATTGACATCAAAAATTTTTATAATTTTTACTATCTTAAAGTTTCAACTGAAATTTATTTGGTAAGAAAGACCTAGAAAAGGATGTGTGTGTGTGTTTTTTTTTAACTAGAACTTCGTGAGTTGAAATTTGTAATTTAGAAAAAAAATATTTCCATAAAAAATTTGTTTTTATTAAAATCTACATCTACTTGTCTTGAACACTTATAAAGATTGAGTAGAATCAAATAAGAATGAAAGATTTCAACAAAACATACCTCGTTGCTTTGAAATCTACAATCTGCAGCTTTGTTTTTCAAATCCCACAAAACAACTGTTCCACTTTCATATCCTATTAACAACTGGAAAAAAGAATACAATAATTCAGTTAAAAAACAGACCAGATGACAGATATAAATTACTACTGAAACAGGAATATGTATGTTTCATCCAGACTTTATGTTGATGGAGAGGAGAAACTCATTAAAACATATTTGTACACATAAAACATTTACATTTGTACACATAATTCAATATGTAAATCATTCATAATGCAAAATTGCTTTTCCATAAGTTCCCTAGATAATACAGCTTACTGTCTCATTAAAAAAAGTTAGTTTTTATGAAAAAAATTGCTTGTTCAAGGATTTTCATAGTTTAAACTTCTTTAATGACTAATTAAATGTTTCCATTTTATTAGTATCAATTTATTGACTTCATTTCTTTGTTTCAAAAACCAAATTTTTTGTTGCCTTTTAAGTATTAATAAACATTCACCAAGTAATGTTAATTTAAAAACATATCCTTGAGTCTCAAAGGTGACTTCGCAAATAACTTTTGGTTGAAACTAATAAAAATGAGAAATTTTTCATCAGTCTTTACCCAAAACAAACTTTTGTAAATATCCTTATAAATTACGTATTATTCTTAATGGACAATTACAGCACATCATAAATTTTTTTATTTTCATACCTAACTTATTGGAAATTCTCCCCTGAAACCGAAAATCTGATTGTTTTTTTCGGCAAATGTTANAAATTACGTATTATTCTTAATTTGTAAAGATTTACAAACGACAACTTTTAATCTTTCAATTAATAATCTAAAGATAAAAAATAATTCTAAAATTCTTTTCACTTAATAGAAAATAAAAATAATTAAAATTTACAAAATAATCAAATTAAATAAATTTTAAATTTGTTGCAGAAACATTTAAGTAAATGTAAAAAAGATATTTACTTTATTAGGATCAACAGGATTGTCACTTAAATGTATAACAACACCAGGATGAGATTTTCTAGAGCTGAAAGGCAAAACATTGCCCATTAAAAAAATTTTACCAAAAACATAAATTATACATTAACCTCGCTTGGATCTACATATCATTTTGCATTTAGAAAGATAGAATGCCCTGTGCACTATATAGTATGAAACTGGTAACAAAAATTTAAAACTTAATTAATAATGAATAAAAAGAGAAATATGGTAAATTATTTTAAAGCAATATATAGTGAATTACAATACTTACATTTCTACAGCTCTATTCCAGTTTATTACATAACCAGAGAGAACAAATGATTCTACATTTACTATATGAACATTTCCTCGCTCAGTACCAACATACAACCATCTGCTATGAAATGGCAGGCAAGCATATGTGATCCTAAAAATTGAAAATGAAACATATCGTTTAAAGGTAATATAAAAAGGTTGAACTAAAAATTTTAAATCTTAAATTTGAACTTGCAACAACAAAAAGTTTGTAATATCAATTCACAAGTCTGATCACATGGCATTCATAATTGTTTGATGTTGGGTTTAAAAGCAAAATCAAGATAAGAGGCATACAAAAGTTTCTCTAAGTACAGTAGACAACCAATTAACAGGAATCCATAGAACAAATATTATTCTGGATATCAGATTTTCATTAAAGAATAGGCTTTATTAATAAACTACTGACTTTTTTTAACAATTAATACGTTTCAAAATAAAAGAAATATTCATGAAACACGTTTTTAAGGTCAATTTTACCTTAAATAATTACCCTAAAAGGATGAATTCTTGTTTTGTTGATAAAGAAAAAAACCAATACAAGCTGACACATCCCTACTTTTGAACAATTTAAAGTGATAGATACTAAACTTTACATAAACAATCTAAAACTGAAATTCAACAGGTAACTTAGGATACATTGTTCCTAAAACAAACTCTTATCATTCCACACATCCGGTTAAAACAACTATTGATGTTGGAAAAGTTGACAAATAACAGTAGCTCTTAAGAGAATTCATAAGAATCAATTTATGTTGAAATGGCGCAATAGCAGAACATCATCTATTATTAACATTTAATAACCATATTTCAATTTCCAAACATTGTCCATGAATAAGTATTTTAGCATTCTACAATACAATTTTATCTTTTCTTGACTTGTGTGGAGCAGAATATCATTCCATTTCCACATCTGATTAATTGAATAAAGAAAATGAAACTTTAATACCAACCATCCAATTTGAAAGCATTTTCTGTGGTATTTACTGAATAGTGTTTTCAGTTCTGCTTTACTGTACATTATGTAGCATTTAATTAGAATAGAGCACAATTTTCAGGTGGAACAAAACTAAATATTATTTGAATTATTTCATATATTGTTGCATCTATTGACACTTAAACAAGCCAAGTTCAACAGCCATTTACCTTGCCAATTAAGTCAGTAGGGGATCGAACTCCTGCCTATCCAGACCATAGTCCAATGCTCTCACCACTGGGCTACCATGGAGCTCATTTCACAGGTGTAAGAAATAAGGGAATAAGTTAAGAAATTGCATGATCTTAAACTCTGGCCCATGGCACTAACTTTAACATTATTGAAATCCTACAGTATTGTTTCTGGATAAATAATTAAGCAAACCAGAATAAGATTTAATCTTATCACGATTTTTATAAAACTAAGCACAGTAAATAATAAAAAAAGTAAACTATTAATGTGTTCTACAATCAGAAAATATTGAACAAAATAATAAATTTTTGCATACTTAAATTTCAAACTTTACTATAATAAGTATATAATCAAAACAGGAAACAATTTAAGAATTGTATAGCAAGAATTGTATAGTAGATCTTGCAATAAAACCTATAGTGAAAATTTCCTGATCATAAAAAATTTTGGACCCTTAAAAGTTCATGGTTATTGAAAACTTGAGATTGAGTCACTTTCCATTCAAAAACAAGCCCAAAAATCATACCAATTTTCAAACTTTTTCATTATCTGCTCTTTGGATAAAAGGTTCACTACTGTAATCATTTTTTTTTCAGGAAACGGTGTCAACTTGTTAACTGTGCCACTTCAACTCAAACTAATTTCCTATAAGTAGTGCCAAGCTGCCATTTTTACACATTCTGGTAAAGAATTTATGCAGTGGTAGTAATATAACAATTGATTTTACAGTTATAAGCAGGCATTATTTTATGCAAACACTTGATAACTTCCAAGAATATTGATAAATCTTTTATATATTTATTTCAATTATTTATACATAGTGTTGGTCAACATCATTAAAAACCAACTTTGTCAAACAAATAGAAAAATATTAATATATACATTTTGTAACCACGTTAAATATGAAAAGAAAATCTTCAATGAAAATCAGGAAATTTTGCAGCCATGGTAATGGATTGTAAAAACAAAAATATAACACTATAGATGTATATACAGTCAATTCATAACATATTTCAAACACTTGTTCAAATAAATAAATATGCTGATACATAAGACAATTAAAGTCTGTAAATATTTAATTCTATTTCATTAAACATTTGCTTTAAGTTATAAAATTATTTCAAATAAAAATCTCAAGTAAAATAAACGAAGATATTATAGTCAAAATAAGAAAATATATGTAAAAATATAATTACCTCTCTTTCTGAAATCGGATGGTTTGTACAATTTCTGGTTGTTTTTGTCGAATGTTCCAAAGATGGACACTATCATCCGCACAAACTGTTACTAAGGCCCCCTAAAAATATTTATCATTAAAAGAGTTGAAAACTAAATTTTTAATTGGTAACAATTGAATTAACATACCTCATTCACTAAAAATAAGATTTGAATAATAGCAGAATCAATATCGTGCTGGACACAAGCATCAACCCCTGGCCGACCAAATCTACAATATTCAAATTAAAGAAAAATAACTTTACTGTAATTTTAAAGATCTGTTAAAATTTGTAAATCAAAAGTAATGTTGAACTAAAATTATTATCTAAATGAGACTTTTAGCAGAAAAAAAAGGAAAATCTAGAACTTAAGCAATCATAGAGTTGTAATGTGAAGTCTTCTAAAGCCAAAAAAACTTCACAACTAGGAAACTTTTAGTCCAAATAAAACCATCAACATATGCTGTATGTACATTATTATTTTACACTTAACTCATGTTTTTAGTAGAATAGAGGCATTAGAAGCAATTTATAAAATATAAATGATGTATCTCACTGTAACATTTAGGAAGTTGGTCACAAAATGCATTTTAAACCAGCTAAAATATTGAAATTAAAATTATTTTATACAACAAATCATATGATAAACAATGATTTACTTGTTAAATCATCGCTAATTTACTTCATTACTAATTCAATGATTTACAATTAACTCATTTAGAAAATGATGCAATTTCACAAAGGATACAATCTCAGAGAGCCATTTTTTGTACCTATAGCTAAAATATGTTGAACTGCATCAAATGCTATGGCAGTTGGCTGGAATGGAAAACCATGGCGAACAGTCTGAAAAAATACAAATGGTTTAAATTTCAAACACAAATAAAAAAATAAAATACTAATAAAAAAGTAAAAATATCATTAGATATGCAATCAGATTAATGTAAAACAAACTTATTTTAATTAAACAATAATAAAATTTCAAAGACTTTTTTTATAAACATAAAAAATTAGAAAGAAAATTATAAATGAAGGCAAAGAAAGCCACTTTATTTCTATGATAGTTTTTCTACTTTTTGATAATCAGAGTCTCAAATAATACTACTGAACTACATATATACACAGAAGAATACTAATGCATGCATTTAAAAGAAAATTATTTTAAAAATAAAATCTCGACGTATATTTTATTTCAATCAAGATTCTTATCTTAAAATTTGAAGCATTATTTGGGCTTGCATACTTTTACGCTACACATGAAAAAGGTATTTGCAGATCATTTTTATCATGCTTTCATGAATTAAATATCCTTAAAATAAAAGTTACCAAATAATAAGTTGAAATTACCATAAAATTTAAAGTTTAGATTCCATAGTTTTTATTAGTTTATAAATCGTTGAGCCATTTAAAAATATCCCAATGCTGCATGAAACTAACTTTTACTAAAACAATAATTATAAAAACACAATCAAAGTGAAGTTAATAGAAGATGTACAAATCAGGGATGAGATTAGCCAAAAGGCAAAAAAGCTGAATTTCCATGATAGTAAATTTTATGCAAGCGCAACCCTTTAATAATAAATTCCAGACAGTTTAAGGTAATAAATAATTACATTGATACTTAGTGAAAATAAAAATTACCAATTGAAAAAAATAAAGCTGGAAATTATATTTTTCCTCAGTTCACATAAGAGACAATTATCACTTGAAAAACTATCTGGTTCAGCAAATTAAAACTACTGAGAATATACATTAATATTTCATTTCTTTTAATAAATACTGTTATGTGATTTATAGCAAATATATCAGTAATATTACTTTTTAAATTATATTGGGAAAAAAAAACTTTAACAATGGACCAAATCATTATGTTCATGTTATAGTCTAATCTAACTACAGCCCTTTGAAACATATCAATAACAGTGAAGTAGAAATATATAGTAACTCCTTAACATACAAAAATTGGTATTTTAGTTTGAAAAATTACATGACAATCAGCAACTGTTTAGATAATTGTTTTTTATTTGATA